CAGCATCTGATGGAAGAGAAATATGGGTTGGAAATATAGCTGATGTCCTGGAAAGCCCAAGTGTGAGTCAGAAGTTGGAACAATGGATATCAGTAATGCAACTGAATGGAACAAACTTTTCTACCCAGAGCATGTGTGTTGAATACAAGAGATCAGCAGTTATGTGAGTAACAGACGTGGGTGCCGACTACAGTTAAAGTACAGCTACAGTTTTCATCCTAACCCCTCTCTGAGGCAATGACGACAGGAGATGTGATGCTTCGGGGTGTTGCCTGCAATACAGCCCACAAAAGCATTTACAGAAGAACCTTGATTTTACGAACAGCAATCTTGCGACTGACCAGTTAGTCAAACCATTTTTCCCAATGAGGACCCACAAAACGAAAGTGATGCGGAAGAATAAGTTGACATCCCTTCACATTCTGATGCCTTCAATGCATTGGAAATTGCTTTGAATGGTTTGAAGGACTAGAAGAAAGCCACGCCATGCCCCATACAATGCATAAATTGAAGTATCTGCTGCAATTTTGAGATGTTCAATTTTATGAACTTTTTTGATTTTAAACAACTCCTCACTCCCCAATTAGTTAGTAAAATAGGGATTCTGTGTGGTAACCAATGCTTCTGAAGCACTATTGGATGAGCAAGACACTATGTACAGAACATTACATAAAGTACACAGCACGGTACAATGAAGTATATTGGAAGACTTGAGAATCAAAGGCTTCCATAAATGAGACAGCCACATCTTTTTTAATATTCCCCTAAAAAAAAAACAAAAAAAAAAAAACAATCAAACCAAAACCACAGGTAATTCCCACAAAATTAAATTCTCCATGAAGTGATGTACCAGACTGTTACATGTTATGAATACTGCAACAAATTTAGAGTAGAGTAGTACAATAATATGCCAGGTACATTTTCACTATAGTACAATATTGAGCAACATTTGTCCTCAAATTTCATGGTTAGCCTTTGGCCCTTTTGGGATACTCTCTTCCAGATATGTAGCAGATGCTAGTATTGTGGTTTCATTACTTGATGCCCATTTCTTCCTATGGCCGTCGCCTTGTGCCAGTCAGGTTGTCCCCTCTATGAATAACATTTGCAAAATCTTCTCTGAACTCTATCTGGTTCCTTGTTTGAGTACAAAACAGTGACTGCCTGGGGGGCAATACAACAGAAACAAAAACAAACCCCATAGTATTAATACATAGGTGTACTTTCCAAAAACTCGTTTTTCTTTCAGAGATACTATAGTAACGTTATTTTACTGTGTAGTCTTTATAACCTTATCTTGTCATTGCATGCTTCCCAAAGGGTTTCAATGAACAGCGTTTTGTGGAAGAGTTTAAGATCTTGAAGCAACAGCACTAACCACTGGGCACAGACCTGTTGAGCTTATCATTCCCTTTTTCATATGAATGGCCTTACCCTTACTTAATGAGTAGAAGGATGTACAAGGTGTAGAAACATTAGGGCGGGGGGGAGGAAGATTTAGCCAGCTCTTGGCCTCTCCATTCCATAAATTGGAAGTCAGTGTGTTACTGACTTTCCATATTTATTATCTGTATTATCACAGCATGTAGAAACCCAAGTTGCGGACCAGAGCCCGATTGTGCTAGGCACTGTACACAGAACAGAGACATTCCCTGCCCCAGAGAACTTACACAGAAGATAGACCTAATGGGGGAGGAGGGAAGAGAGACATGGAGAGGAGATGAGAGGGAGTGGCCGATGACCTGTAATACACCACTCCAAATAGGAACATTTGCCTCCTAGTTTCAAAGAAAAGCTAATCACCTATTTTTAAAACAGGCAAACTACAAACATCTGAATCTTTGTTTGATATATAAATGCTTCTGGGCTCCCATACCATAAAATACAGAAACCACCACCATAATACGGAGGACATCTCACTTGACCTTGACAGATAAATATTCACCAGCCCACATAACGAAGATGATAAAATAAACCCAATCTCCACTCGCAGCTGATCGGGCTTTGCAACATTCCAGGAAAGTTAACAGATCTGGCCTCTAATAGAATAAGTACAAAGAGAGTTTCAAAGTCAAGGAGCCTTAGCAGAACCAGCAACTCACTCCTGTTAAAGAGGGCATCTCCTCAGATCTCAACTGCAGCAGTATGGAACGAGGTGAGAGCGATCTCTCAGGTAACCAGGTGCCTTACAGAGTAATTTCAACCCTGTGTATTCTTCGCAGAAGTCTACTGGAAGCCAGTGTAGAACCTGGACCACAGGCATAGTGGCATAAAACGTGCTTAATAAACTTCTTCTTCTATCACTTTTCCCAGCTAGCTGGGGTCAGGTCACTGGATCAGTCTTTTCCAGGCTTGCTGGTCCAAGGCTGGCTCTATATCCATTCCATCCTCCCATACACAGTCTATCCACCATTTTCTTGGCCAGCCTTTTTTTCTCCACCTATGAACTCCAGTCTCAAATGCCTTCCTAACAGGATTCCCTTCATCCCTCCTTCGTACCTGCCCATACCATCTCAGCCTCCTCTCTTGCAGCTTCTGATACTGCAGACCTTGGTCTCACTCCAATGACATCATTCTACATATGGTCCATCAATGTCTCCCCTCTCCCTCCCCTCAAACACCTAATTTCAATGGCTTCAAATCTTCTCAAGTGCACCTTTTGGTGACCCATGTCTCTGATCCGTACAGAATAGCTGGCCTTACCACAGTTTTGTATAGTTATCCCTAAGTAGTCAAGGCATCCATTTCATCATAAATCCCTCCACTTACCTTGTTCCAGACTTCTCCCATGCTCAGCAACCTTGTGTGTTGTTCTTTGTTGATGTCTCCATTTGCTGCTAACCAGCCCCCCAAGGTACTTAAACACAGTAATCTGATTTAGGTACTGACACTCAATGTTGATATTCATCTGTCTATAACATAGGCGTAGTAAAAAGGACACCATATTCGGCATCAGCGTCAGTTTCTGCAGGTGTAGCACTAAGCAGAGTATGTTATAGCCATTTAATTTTAAAATGACAGGCACAGATAAGCATGTCAAGGTCAATGTTGGACAGAGAGGGTCACATTCTTCCAATCAGGCAGATTGGGGAGGGGGGAGGGGCGGAAGAGAAGTGCTCTTGGCCACAACTGTTACTTGGGTCCTTAGGAGCAGCCCAGGATCTAACCGCATACCGCAAAGAGTCCTCAAAATCATTTTCATTATGGACTTTCCAACCTCAACAGTGGCCCCTAGAAACATTCAGAATTAAGGTTTATTTGATAACGTTTTAGCCCTTTGAGTTCTGGCATCCCCTAGAAGTGGTTAAAGGGACACAGTGATATAGTATATGGCCAGAGTCTCCAAAGGATTTTGTATCAGTCTAAGTTTTATTATTAAATACACGAATTATTGTAAAATGGGCAGGAGTGCATATGAACAACAAAATAAGACAGCTTAATGTTTTAATCACACTTACAGAACCCAGGGAGCTATAAGATCAATTCACTATAGGATTACAACATTAAAAATACAAAAATCAACCTAAATCCATTTTAAAAAGGATCTCCCAATTAAAATACTACTGGATCATTTTTTCCAAATGCTTTTGTAAACAGTAACAGGAATGTCACAGTTTCAGGGTGACTGCACCTACACACACACACACACACACACACACACACACCCCCGTGGTCCCAGGAGGGCAACCACATAAGGTTTCCAGCTCCCAGCTGTCACCTTCTTGGGTGGGACTGGAGACCCATATCCTCTCTCCCTCCTGACCAGAGTTTTATGACTGCACAGCTCCCTGCTTTATGCTGGAATATACCCAGCTAGCCACTCTGCCTTGAGGCCAGCGCCTGTGCTGTGCGTTCTCTGGGAGAGCTATGAACAGCGTGCTGCAAGTAGTTACAAGTTACCACACAGCTCCTTCTGGGCAAGCACATTTATTCTTAAGGTTAAACCATTACAGAGTAAACATAAAAACAATGGAAGTTCCTACACACAGGCTAAAAGTTTACCAGAGGTCATCCACCATCTTACTGGGCCTTGGTAGGCCAAAGACTTGACCTTCCAACCCTTCCAGAAGGATTGGGACCCCCCTTTGGGCAAAAGGTCCTGTCTGTTTGCTGGATCGGAAGGTGGCACTGAGTCAGTTTAAAAACACAGCTTTTATAAACCAAAAGCCCTTCCTTTGTTTTCCTAGACTTTGGAGACCCAGTTTGAACCAGAATGTGCAAACCTCCCCAGGGATGTAACCTCTCTGTAGGTGTTTACAAGGTGAGTGATTCACCTTCAAAACTCCCATTAGTTTTAGTTCCCGGAGGAGCTGTGGTAACCCTCCCCCAGTGGAGCAGAACACACATACACACCATCCCTGGCCCACAGTGATACATAAATAGGCTTGGAAGAATTTGATTTTTATTTGTAAATATCAGTAAATGTCAATTTCAGCATACACAGAAACCAATGAAAAAATATTCCCATTAATAATAATCTAAATTTACAGATGGGAAAAGAAAGAAAAATGCTGCCCTAGAACTTAACAGAGTTTGATTTAAAGATATTTGCTTTGTTTATTTTGACATCTGATGTTGACAGCTCGTGTTTTAATGGTTATAAATCATTAAACTGACTAGATTTCATGGTGGCCTTAAGGCCCTTCATTCTGCTGATGAAGCTGCTGTCAGGTGGCTCAGCAAGGACTGCAAATGGTAAAAGAAGAAGAATGGTTATCAAGCTTTTTGAATCTCAATGTCTACTGTCATTAAATAATTGTCTGACCCCCTCAGAATTTCCCACAACCAGGACAATTTTAAATGGACAAAAAATGGGGGGGGAAGTGCTTAAAAATAAATAGATACTACCAATGAAACTATAAAAGAAAAAATAAAATTCTGCCAAGCCTATACATAAACTTAATACAATATGTTCCCCACAGAGACACAACATGCAGTTGCAATATCTGTCACAACGAAAATACTAAAGTAATTTAAAAAAAAACCCTCACACACCTCACCTCTACTTGCATGCGGCTACTTTCAGTATTCCATCTCCCAGACAGAAGTAAAGAGTTATACACTGCCACCCAGCTAATTATAGAACTGGTTTCATTATCATGACCCTGCTGAGGGCCTGTGTGAAGAGAGACAGTTCTACTACAAATTCACCAACAGGATTCTAAAAATGACAAGCTTTCATCTGCTTAAATTTCATAATCACTACTTAATTACTGAAGGCTGTACAGGAAATAAATCAGACTGACAACCTCTCTCTCTCCAGGTATACATCACACATATCCAAAAAACAGCAGCCAATTTCTACTTCTTCTAGTCCCAGGTCTTCGTAATTGTACTTCTCTGTCAGTGGATATTGACAAACAAGACTGCAGGTTTTCCATGAAGCACCGAGTTAGTACATCTCGCTGTAACAGTACTTGTCTATCCTTGAAATGAACCTGTTTGAAGTGTATTTGCCAGAGAAAGCACGTCCACAGCTGTTGAAGTTGGCAGGGCACTTTTGTGAAGCCCTTGCTGTAAAGGGCAGCAGTTGTACATGATTTTACATAAGACAGCTGGCATCTAGTTTAGTGGTTGAATTTCAAGGTCCTAAACCCTTTACATGTGTTATTTTGGGGATGAGGGGAAAGCAGGTTATAAATATATTACTCCTCTCTATTTGCCATTGCTGATACTCGACCAAAATGCAGGATTGATTAAAATCATAAGAGAGTACAGTGAAATTATTACCTACTCAAACTGTTATCTGTAATCTGAAGGAAGTAAGGACTTCCCACAGACAGAGTACTGGTCTACAGTGAGTCAAGATCATTGAAAGAAGCAGTAATACCGATTTCCACCTCTTAAAATATGTTTATTGGCATTTTATTCTTCCCAGAGACTTTCCTTCTCATGATTAGCAGTGATTTATGGAGATGGTCTGATAACAGTTCACTTTTTATTGGAAATATTCCAGCCCACAAGCCTGAACTATGAAATGATTTACTACAAAGTGTGGTGTGTAGCTAGTGAATTCCTATCCATTAAGAGTTCCTTAGGTTTCCCAGGTACAGTCTTAGCAAGGTTTTAGTCTTATTTGATACAGCACACAGGGTGTGTAGAAATGGGAGGGTGGTCTTCCAATCCAAGTATATCAGGACTATATCACAAAACTAATACTGGGGGCAGGATTGCTCCACCAATATTTCTAATGGTTATGTGATCAATACTACATCAGGATGATAGAGAGCTTAGATGGTTGGAGGTAGAGACTAAACTCAAACCAAATCTAGGGAGATGATTAAAAGCAGTGCTAAGTCAATTTCAGAAGGCCATATGGGAGGGAAATGGGAGGAAAAAAGAGGAAAAAAAATACAGCTCTGTATAAAGTACCCAGGCATATCATGGATTTAGCTACTTTCCAATCGACTTCCCATTGAATGCAAGCCACATCTCTACCTAGCATTAGGGATGGCAATGGCAGCTAAAGCAAATGTGATCAAAGGGTACGTCTTCACTACTCACCAGATCGGCGGGTAGTAATCGATCTATCGGGGATCGATTTATCGCGTCTTGTCTAGACGCGATAAATCGATCCCCGAACGCGCTCCCCGTCGACTCCGGAACTCCACCAGAGCAAGCGGCGGAAGCGGAGTCGACGGGGGAGCCACGGCCGTCGATCCCGCGCCGTGAGGACGCAAGGTAAATTGATCTAAGATACGTCGACTTCAGCTACGCTATTCTCGTAGCTGAAGTTGCGTATCTTAGATCGATTCCCCATCCCCAGTGTAGACCAGCCCAAAGACGCTATAACTACATGGACATAGACCTCTCACAAAGTACAGGCCCCAGCAATGTGCAAATCATGGTGTTACTGGGGCAGGTTCATGCCGTGGAACGCTGATTCTGGGCCCGGGAAACAAGCACAGACTGGTGGGACCGCATCATGTTGCAGGTCTGGGATGATTCCCAGTGGCTGCAAAACTTTCGCATGCATAAGAGCACTTTCATGGAACTTTGTGACTTGCTTTCCCCTGCCTTGAAGCGCCAGTATACCAGGATGAGAGCAGCCCTCACAGTTGAGAAGCGAGTGGCGATAGCCCTGTGGAAGCTTGCAACGCCAGACAGCTACCGGTCAGTCAGGAATCAATTTGGAGTGGGCAAATCTACTGTGGGGGCTGCTGTGATCCAAGTAGCCAACGCAATCAAAGACCTGCTGATATCAAGGGTAGTGACTCTGGGAAACATGCAGGTCATAGTGGATGGCTTTGCTGCAGTGGGATTCCCAAACTGTGGTGGGGCGACAGACGGAACCCATATCCCTATCTTGGCACCGGAGCACCAAGCCACTGAGTACATAAACTGCAAGGGGTACTTTTCAATGCTGCTGCAAGCCCTGGTGGATCACAAGGGACGTTTCACTAACATCAACGTGGGATGGCCGGGAAAGGTACATGATGCTCGCGTCTTCAGGAACTCTGGTCTGTTTCAAAAGCTGGAGGAAGGGACTTTCTTCCCGGACCAGAAAATAACCGTTGGGGATGTTGAAATGCCTATTGTTATCCTTGGGGACCCAGCCTACCCCTTAATGCCATGGCTCATGAAGCCGTACACAGGCAGCCTGGACAGTAGTCAGGACCTGTTCAACTATAGGCTGAGCAAGTGCTGAATGGTGGTGGAATGTGCATTTGGACGTTTAAAAGCGCGCTAGCGCAGTTTACTGACTCGGATAGACCTCAGCGAAGCCAATATTCCAACTGTTATTGCTGCTTGCTGTGCGCTCCACAATATCTGTGAGAGTAAGGGGGAGACATTTATGGCGGGGGTGGGAGGTTGAGGCAAATCGCCTGGCCGCTGATTACGCGCAGCCAGACACCAGGGCGGTTAGAAGAGTACAGCAGGGCGTGGTGCGCATCAGAGAAGCTTTGAAAACGAGTTTTGTGACTGGCCAGGCTACGGTGTGAAACTTCTGATTGTTTCTCCTTGATGAACCCTCTGCTCCTCTCCCCCCCCCCCGGTTCACTCTACTTCCCTGTAAACTAACCACTCTCCCCTCCCCCCTTCGAGCACCGCTTGCAGAGGCAATAAAGTCATTGTTACTTCACATTCATGCATTCTTTATTAATTCATCACACAACTAGGGGGATAACTGCCAAGGTAGCCCGGGAGGGGTGGGGGAGGACGGAAGGAAAAGGACACACTGCAGTTTAAAACTTTAAAACTTATTGAAGGCCAGCCTTCTGATGCTCGGGCAATCATCTGGGGTGGAGTGACTGGGTGGCCGGAGGCCCCCCCACCGCGTTCTTGGGCGTCTGGGTGAGGAGGCTATGGAACTTGGGGAGGAGGGCTCTTGGTTACACAGGGGCTGTAGCGGCAGTCTCTGCTCCTGCTGCCTTTCCTGCAGCTCAACCATACGCTGGAGCATATCAGTTTGATGCTCCAGCAGCTGGAGCATCGACTCTTGCCTTCTGTCAGCAAGCTGACACCACCTATCCTCTTCAGCCCGCCACTTGCTCTCTTCAGCCCGCGATTCAGCCCGCCACCTCTCCTCTCGTTCATATTGTGCTTTTTTGCACTCTGACATTGATTGCCTCCACGCATTCTGCTGTGCTCTGTCAGCGTGGGAGGACATCTGGAGCTCCGAGAACATATCATCCCGAGTCCGCCGTTTTCTCCTTCTAATCTTCACTAGCCTCTGTGAAGGAGAAACATTTGCAGCTGGTGGAGGAGAAAGGAGAGGTGGTTAAAAAAGACACATTTTAGAGAACAATGGGTACACTCTTTCACGTTAAATTTTGCTGTTCACATTACACAGCACATGTGCTTTCGTTACAAGGTCGCATTTTTCCTCTTATATTGATGGCCTGCCGGTTTGGTGTGAGAGATCACTCACGCAGTGCCAGGCAACAGATTTCGGCTTGCAGGCAGCCATGGTAAGCCACAGTCTTTTGGCTTTTTTAACCTTCTTAACATGTGGGAATGGTTTCAAACAGTAGCGCCCTCATTTCCCATACCAAGCACCCGTTGGGTTGGCCATTTAAAATGGGTTTGCAATGTAAAAGGAGGGGCTGCGGTTTCCGGGCTAACATGCAGCACAAACCCAACTACCCCCCCCCACACACACACACCCAATTCTCTGGGATGATCACTTCACCCCTCCCTCCTACCGCGTGGCTAACAGCGGGGAACATTTCTGTTCAGCCGAGCAGGAACGGGCACCTCTGAATGTCCCCTTAATAAAATCACCCCATTTCAACCAGGTGACCGTGAAAGATATCACTCTCCTGAGGATAACAAAGAGAGATAAGGAATGGATGTTGTCTGCATGCCAGCAAACACCGGGACCATACGCTGCCATGCTTTGTTATGCAATGATTCCAGACTACGTGCTACTGGCCTGGCGTGGTAAAGTGTCCTACCATGGCGGACGGGATAAGGCAGCCCTCCCCAGAAACCTTTTGCAAAGGCTTTGGGAGTACATGAAGGAGAGCTTTCTGGAGATGTCCCTGGAGGATTTCCGCTCCATCCCCATACACATTAACAGACTTTTCCAGTAGCTGTACTGGCCACGATTGCCAGGGCAAATTAATCATTAATCATTAAACACGCTTGCTTTTAAACCATGTGTAATATTTACAAAGGTACACTCACCAGAGGTCCCTTGTGTGCCCTCAGGGTCTGGGAGCACGCCTTGGGTGAGTTCGGGGGTTACTGGTTCCAGGTCCAGGATGATAAACATATCCTGGCTGTTGGGGAAACCAGTTTCTCCGCTTCCTTGCTGTGAGCTATCTTCATTGTCTTCATCATCATCTTCCTCGTACCCCGAACCCGCTTCCCTGTTGCGTGATTCTCCATTGATGGAGTCAAAGCACACGGTTGGGGTAGTGGTGGCTGCACCCCCTAGCATGGCATGCAGCTCTGCGTAGAAGCGGCATGTTTGCGGCTCTGCCCGGGACCTTCCGTTTGCCTCTCTGGCATTGTGGTAGGCTTGCCTTATCTCCTAAATTTTCACGCGGCACTGCTGTGCATCCCTGTTATGGCCTCTGTC